CCAAAAGAACATTTTGAGCAAGGGAAATACTGTCAGTAAATCAGAAGGTTTTCCACCTGGCTACTACTCACAGTCTGCCATAGGCTCTTTAAAAAAATTATTTTTATTTTATGTGTCTTGAGTGTTTTGCCTGCATGTATGCATGTATGTAAGTACATCGTACATTATGGATGGTTGTTAGCCACCACATGGGTACTGGATACTGAACACGGCCCTCCACAAGAACAGCCAATGCTCTTACTGAACCCTCTCTCCAGCCCCTGCCTTAAGCTCTTAATGTATTATTCTCCCAGGACTTGATGTTTCTGTGATTTGAGGTCTAATGCTGTGACCCAAGACCACAGCTAGCCTAAATGATGGTGCCTTAGTGGGAATATCAAATGGCATATCTACTTCTGGGTATATTCCCTGTAAAATCTTACCTCCCCAAACTGGGTTTATGATTTCAGTCCTAACTTCTAGGGTTTTTTTTTTTGCCGGGGGGAGGTATTTTTTTGTTTGTTGGTTTGTTTTTTGAGACAGGGTCTCCCTGTAGTCCCAGCACTGGAACTCACTATACAGACCAGGGTAGTCTTAAACTCACAGAGATCCACCTGCTTCTGCTTCCCAAGTGCTGGCCAAGTAACTTCTTTAAAAACATTTATGTGTGTGTGTGTGTGTGTGTGTGTGTGTGTGTGTGTGTGTGTACGAGAGTGTCTGTGTTTGTGTCTATATATGTATGTGTGGGCATGCATGGCATAACATGCATATGAAAGTCAGTCAGTTCTCTCCTTTTACTATGTGGGTTCTCTGGATTAATTTAAGTTGCCAGGCTTGATGGCAAGCACCTGTACCCACTGAGCCATCATGCTGGCCCACAGTCCTAACTTCTACATTGGCTGGGTAACTTTATGAAGAGCACAATGTTCGTAACTTATGTAGCTGACCTACTGTGACAGCTGATGCTAGTGCCATACTGCTTAGGTCTTTTCCCTGTGCCAGGACTGAATGCAGTATCCTTTTGGTGCATGCTGTTTGTTTCCTCTTACCTTGAACATTCCTCATGGTCCCCTTTACAAGGAAGGCTAGCATTTAATGATAGTTAAATCTCAAAATGGTGATCACTTTTCAGAGAAGCTTTTCTTTTATCATCCTTCTCTTCCTCCTTTTCTTGTGATGTTCAAGATTGAACCCAGATTTCTGAAACATGCCAGGCAAATGTTCTACTACTGAGCTGTGTCCTCAGCCCCAAGAAGTTTCTTGATCTCCTTGAATAGATGATATCAGTAAGTTCTTATTAATATGACCTATAGGTTTTTTGTTTATTT